TATTGTAAGGTTCCAGACTTAATAAAGAGTATTGGTGTTTTTGACTCTAGTGACAGAATTTTCTTGGAATTGGAGCGTTTGGTTCAGATCCACAGTTCTATTCCGTAGATCCACATTATTAATGTACAGTATTATCTTGTATATTAACAGTTTGTTATTGTTCAACAAAAAGAATTTTATATCGTTTTTTAAATTCTGTCTTTTCAGTTTAGTGGGGGTTCTCTGTCACTCTTTCAACGAGAAACATGCCTAGATATTTCCCTATGTCAGCAGTCGGTATAGGTGTGTTGTTAATGCGGAGTGTAAGGTTGTGTGGGTGCATTTATTGTGATTAATTTTTATTCTCCATCTTTTGGCCCATTGATGAATATCGATTAGATGTGCTTGGATGTTGGAGGCAGCTATTTCTGGGTTTTGATGCGTGGAAAGGATAAATGTATTGTCTGCGAATGTAGCACGTAGTGTTAGAATTTAGAGGGAGTACATAGGAGAGGTCCTATATGCTTCCTTGCGGTACTCCAGCCCCGAAAGGAAGAAAGAGGAAAGATCTGCACTTTGTCTGACTTGAAAATACCTATCGGACAGGTAGGATCTTAGGATCAGGTAATAGGTTGAGGGGAGATGTGCCTTTAACTTGGAGAGAAGCCCCACGTGCCAGACTCGATCGAAGGCTTGCGGGGTGTAAAGAAATACACGAGGACAATACTCCCCTCACTCAAGGCTGGAAAAGATAACGTCTACCACTCGAAGACCCTGTTGAATAGTGCTGATGTGAATAGAAGCCAAATTGAAGGTTTTGGGAGTTTCGGAGGAGATAGATAGTACGTTCAATGAAAATTTTCTCTAAAACTTTAGATAGAAATGAGAAGGAATAGGTCTGTATGAGTTTGTTAGGTGGGAAGGTTTATTGGGGTTTGGGATCAAATCTCATTTTTAAACTTTTCATTTATTAACTTTTCAATATTCCGTGTCAGGTAAGTGAAAACGTTCTTCGTTTTCTTTTTTATTAAGACAACGATTTCTGAGTTTGCCTTTTGATGTACTCGTACTTTAGCACTTCTCAACCCACTTTCATGATCTTGCACAGGATATTTTTTCGTGCGATCAACCGCGACTATCCAACGTTTCAAAGTTTTATACGTTTTATTGGAGCAATTTCCATCCCACCACATATTTTTGGACGTGTGAAAGAAGTTCAAGAAATCGAAAGTTAAAATGATTTGTATACTTGGCTCAAAGACAATTTCTTCAAATAATGTACCAAACTAGACATCAAGTGGTTTTACGTAGTGAATTTGCCTCCATCTCGATGTGCTAAGTGCTTTTTTTACCAAATTGGTAAAGGGGTGATTTTTATTTGTCATTAATTTAAAAACAATTTTAGATGTCCAGCTTGGTCGATTTATAGGCTTCCAACCTCGTTGAATGACAAGCCAAAACATGTGAATTCCCTTGACAAACTTATCGGAAAACTTGGTATATTTATGGCGTTGTGTAAATAATAAAACAGTTAAACATAATAGTAAAATAGTTTTGCGATTGTTTAATATATTTTATAGCAGAAGAAACTACAGATTCCATTAGAAAAGGAAGTTTTCTCGTTTCACTATAGATTTATAAAATTGGGCTGAAACTCACAAAGTAAACAATTGTTGCAAAGGTTAATTTTTAATTGTAAAATCTTTTGAATAATATGCACTCTGCTGAATTTTTTATTATTTTTTAAAAATAAAAAACCATTCAATTTTAAAAATGAATAGCTCATGAAAAAAGTTCCTTATGTTAATGGTTGGCAAGGGTGTCGCGTCGAACGTGGGACGCCATGTATAATGTACATAATTCACTGCCGAAGTGGAACTAGATCAAATACAATTCGAACACATCCTAACAAAGAAAAATCAATAAATAAGCCGATACTTGATCTTTAACAGCCACACCTTGACCTGACATCCCTCTTATCAATCAAAGCGTTAAATTCTCTTAAAATTCATTTTCGACTTTGTAAATTTTTTATTCAAAATGTTCAACTTTTTAACCTTTTTGTTCGGGTGTCGTAAAATAATTAATCAGGATCCGATGAAACTCGTCAGAAACAGGCCCAACAACGAAAACAAGTGAACCAAGAAGGGATTAATCAGCCGTTAAAAATACCAGCAATGGTATGGGCACTTCCCAACAAACTACACCATACTGGATATGGGTCTGGATAAGGGTATAATAAACTTTAAGGCGGAAGGCTGTACTGTATTTATATGTAAAAATGTAAAAAGTATATCTTCCGTAGGCCATGCAATAACTTTTTTTTTTAAACTATCTCAGTGTGTGCAAACCAAATAATTGAGCATTTATATTAACGAGTGTGGTGTTTAGTTATTTATTATTTGGAGATCGTGGGATGCGGTCTGGTGTGACGTAGGTTTTGAAGATGAAAAAAAATACTTTGAATATTTTGATTGAATTTAAAATTTTCTAGCATTGTATAAATTCATTTTTTTATTCTAAAATTTTATAGCATTGTATAAATTCAATTTTTTTCAAATCTAAAATTTTCTATCATTATATAAATACACAATTTTTTCCACATCCTACAGGTATTTATAAAATTCAAACAATGTTTATAAATCCCAGGCCCTGAAGATGATCACAATAAAGATCGAAACGTTGGCACTCTAAAGAACTTTCATCAACTTTTTCAATAAGGAAACATTTATTACAGTTCGTAAGATCAGTACAACCCGACAGTGAAATTTGATTTTTATAACCCCGTCAAGTGGTCTTCGAACAGTAAAGCGTACAAATTTGAATTTCGTAGTAAGAGATAAACGATTAACTGAGAGGTAAAAGATAAACGATGCATAAAACTCTTTTTCTTGTATAAGTAACACCATTGTATGAGAGATGCGAAAAATTATCTTGCTTGAGGCCGATGCTTACAGATGTCCTGCCGGACGTGAACCGCCGGCCGAGGCCTAAGCCCAACGGGGAAAACGTGGACCGCGTTCTGACCTCGGGCTCTTTGGCCGTGACAGGTTGGCATTCTTTCGAAAGAAAATAAAATGACCGATTCTCCCCTGTAAAGTTTCTAGGGGAGAACAGCTTCGGCGCACTTCTCGGCTTTTGACAGTCGAAAACTACCGCGACAGTCCTCGCTTTTACACGAGGTTCAACGTCAAACCGACCGGATTGGCCTTACGTCTAATGAGTTATGTCCCTATTAAATCCAACAGAAACTATATTTATAATAAAATACATAATAAAAAAGTCATTCAGGCCATAACTCCATAAAAATGCTTTCTCTTGCTTTTTGTGTGTTCAAGAAACAGATTTATAGGATCGTCACATTGTTTGAACTACGATCTAAATATTGCTAAACAAATCTTTATTACTTCAATAAATTATTATATATTAAATCATGTGTAATGTGCTGTCCATTGATTTGAATGACCCTTGTGTGGATTTGTGTGCGGGTCTGTTTTTCAATTTTTTAATAAAAAATCAAGGATAAGGTCAATTTAAAATAAAAAGGTCTGTTTTAATTTTTTATTTATTACAAACCAGCACTAGTTTATTGGTTTGAACAAGCATTTATGTGTTAGTCCTTGAAGAAAATGGATTTATTTGCGGATCTGATTTTCGATTTTGTATTAAAAATCAGGGATAAGGAGAATTTAAAATAAAAAGTTCTATATTCATTTTTTTATTACAAATCAGCACTGTTTATTGGGTTGAGGACCCTTTTATGTGTCTGTGTTTGAAGAAAATGGATTTATTTGAGTTAACTTTTTAACATTTTGTACTACTAATCAGCACTGTAATAGTTTGGAATAAGGTCGGTATTGTTTATTTTTTAGTCTACTATTACTTTTAATTGACTGTTTATGAATCTGTACTTGAAGAAAGTGGATTTCCAGTGTGCTTGTCTTTTTATTTTTTATGTATATAAAACATTTTTTTTATTACGAGCCAGCTCTGTTAATTTGTTTGTTTATACCTTTGCATTTGTACGATTTCCCGTTTGTCTGCTGTGCTGGGGTATCTATCTACATTATATTTGAATTCTGCTCTCTCTTCTCTCGCTCTCTTACTCTGTTTTCCCCCCAACTACCGTATCCCTGCTGCTGTGGAGATTACTCCATCCGCTCCCACAAAATAAGTACAGATAATTTAACAAAATTATCTTCATCCTATAGAACTAATAATCTATAATAATTTTTACACAATAAACCGATAGCACAATAACCAACCCAGAAGTTGCTCAGAAACAAGAAACAAAGTAAACGGGTCAAATTAAGTTAAAGTCTATGCTGCTTAATGTCTAAACGTTTTTAAAATATTTTTTAACTAAAACTTCGACTGATGCTAGCCATGCTTCTGCCTGAAGAACAACTGCTCTTATCATGTTTCTCCTTCGTGCTTCGAACATGGTACAATCCTGAATGTGTTCCCACGTTCGTTGTTTCTCAGATAAAAATTTACAGTGATCGCTTTCTTGGATGTGAAACCTCGACTGCATTTTCGCCTTGTCCGCTTATAGCCTGGTAACTTTATAGTTGGCAATTCCACCGCCAAGCGGGATTTGACGGTAGAGAAGAACTTTTTGGTTTGAGATCATTTTTCTGTGTTGTACCAGTCCACATTCCTCTGTTTTGGTACGTACGTAAGAGTAGGGTACGAGGTTAAATTCTGGTTCCAGTTTTGGGTCTCTTGCCGCTTTTGTGTGTGTGTGTGTGTGTTGCGTGTGATCAGAGATTTATCAGAAATAACGACTTTACATGCCTAAAAAAAAGTATTGTATCCATATTTTTTACTTCAACAGAACAACCCGCAATCTACTGATTTAAATGTAAGCATCATTCTCTTACGCCTGAATCAGGATTGTTCAAAGTTAATAACAGCATTAGCCTTTTTTTGAATATTTTATATAACTATATTTAACTAGAACTAGACCAAACTTACTGTCTATAATCCAAACCTATTTTCTAATATACCTATTTTTTCAGTAAAGGAACTGCAGATTAAATGGAAATCTATAAGAGACCACTTTATGAGGCAACTAAAGCAGAATGTAAATGGGGACGCTCCAAAAAAGAAAAAATACGTTTACTTCGATCAGCTCTTGTTTCTCACGAGGAATCTTGACGCCAGGAGGTAATTTTTTAAAAATTATTTTGACTTTTAATTAAATAATAATTGAAAATGGCAAAAAGAGGGAAGGTTCGATCAGTTGTAGGTTGAGATGGAGAATTAGTGTCCGATTGGATCGAAGTCACGACAGCTGAAGTGGTAGAGCAGCGGCGTATTTAGCCGGAGGTCGTGAGTTCGAATCCCGCTCGTGACACTGACTTTTTTATCTCAACCAAGACCTTAAGAATAATTAATAAGATGTAACTTGGTAAATTGACCACTAAAACGTAAATTAATTAAATAATAATGATAAGCAACATACTATAATGTCCTCAACAGACTACAAAGAAGAACGTTAGATACGATACAGTATACAGATGGCTCCAAAACAAATGAAACAACCGGATCAGGCGTTTTTGTACAAGCCCAAAACATGAGCAGTGTATTTCAAGCTACATGGTATCAATGCTTACGACCTAGAAAATCTTTAAAGAAGTTACACTTGCAAAAAAATTAAGAATTAAAATATTAGCAAGTAAAAAAGACACATCAAAACTAGCCATTGAATGCATTCACGATCTCCAAAATCTGGGGAAAAACAACGACCTGGTGAGAATGATATCTTACCAGCACACAAAGGAATTTTGAGTAACGAAAAAGCAGACACATTGGCTAGAGTTAAATCTGCAAAACCGTATCCGAAACGATGTATGGGGTAATAAAAACAAACCAAACAAATCCTTCATCACAGAATGATCCAAAAAACACAAAAGTAGAAATCGATTTTTTGGAGATCTTGAGATGCGGTCTGGTGTGACGTAGGTTTTAGAAAAACCTTTTCTTTATCGTGGCAACGTTTCGATGTTTATTGAGATCGTCTTCAAGGCCTTGTGTTGTCTGCATTTCAACAAAAAAGTTCCCTGATTGATAGCCGATGCAAGTTTCTTTTCATTGTTGGCGATGTCCTTCATAATGCTCTGTGCTAGAAATTTTAGATTCACTCAAAGTGTTTGTTTTCTGTATAGATGTGTCATTATTGTTTGTCGTGTTGAGAGTGCCAATGAGATATACAAATACTTTGAATCTAAAATTTCTAGCATTGTATTCATTAATTTTTTTCACATCCTGCATGTATTTGTATAATTTAAACAATGTTTATAAATCCCAGGGCCTGAAGATGATTTCAATAAAGATCGAAACGTTGGCACGATAAAGAAAATGTTGATGATCTCATATCAATAACTAATGGTCACTAAACACCACACAGTAGAAATAATAGATAAACTCTAGGGGTGCTAGACACAGTAAACTTGTGCTAAAACAACACTTACGAAGACTGGCAAACCCACTACTGCTTAGAGAGAGCCAAACTCAGAGGAGTGACGATAGGAAAACATCTATACAACATGGGCCACCAACAGCCAGTCATATCATCTTCGAATGCGAAACAACCGCTCAATGGAGACATAAACTGGGATACAAAGAAAACCCAGGGAATGAAATTGCAACAACTGCAATTACCTATTACTTCTTAAGAGAAGGGTTGAGTCGGTTACACTGAACTAGGGAACTAGTTAAGTTCAATTAGCCAGAAAGCTGCAGTGCCTGGGGAGCGAAAACCCCCATACCCTAGTATTCATCATCAGCATAACACAGGCGAACAGAATTCAATCTCTTCAAAAATCTACAAATAAATACTTTTTATTTATTAAATAAAGGCTGCGACCTTATTGGTCATTAAGCCTTGAGTCTATACTAGTAAACGGTGCAGCCCGGTCCCATCAGAGCGAAGCCCCGCAAACCCCGGAGCAGTGGCAGCCCCAGACTTGGAAAGAACGGAACCCCACGAATCTCTCCCAGCTGATGCTTTTAATCTTAATATTGTGCGCAGGGCTTTATTTTATGGTCACTAGACATCGACCCCTCCTCCAAGCTCGCTGGAGATTCCTTGATCTCAGAGTCCGGGGAGGCACCCCTCAATCCAGCCCAAGACTGACCAGCACCCGAGGCCCCGTATGGGCCTCGCCAGAAGTCAGCCGCGCCACACCGCCAACACGGGGAACCAGCGAAGGAAACAAAAAAAATTATGTATGCAGTTTTTTAATATCGACTGCTTCACCCAACAATGCCCAATTTATGCATTTCTTTCTGAAAAGTGTTTTAAATGGTTAAATAAACGACAAAAGACTTTAGAATACCATAGATTTGAAGCTGAACAGAATAGAGCTATTTTTTTATAATTCTTAAAATCTTATTTTGCAGGTACTTACCGTCGTACACATCTATTAAACAAGAGGAAGATTTAAGCCCAGTAAGCGGCGAGGTGAACCTGAAAAGCCCAAGGAAGAACCAATGGAAACCGCCTAGGTTCGAGTTCAACGAAATCCAGGAGAGGCAAGCATTGGCAGACACACTCAACCTGGGCGTCATGGGCTACCCTCGGGACGAGCTGCAAGGCGACAGGATGGGAAACAGGATGTTCCTCCTGTCGCTGCTGCCGATCATGGAACGACTGCCGGACCACGTCAACCTGCGGGCCAGACTCCAGCTGATGGAAGTGCTCCAGGCCGCCCTCGCGTCCAACGAAGTCTCCGACTCCTTCAGCATTGGATACCACGACAATTCCTACTACAGCCAAGAGACTGCCTCGCAAGACGGATCTCAAGAAACCTCAGACCAAGAGTGCAATAACAGTTCATGACTATTAAACTTTAAATTTTTACAAAAAAAAGTTATAATCATTGTGATAACGTTTTAATATTAAGGAATTGTACATAAAAATTAGGGAGATTTTTTTTAATTTTTAAGAAATGTTGAAACTCGAGTTTTCTCCGATCCTCAAGGAAAAATTCATTTTTGTTCTTCCTGAAATACGTTGTCGAATTTCTAGAAATAAAATAGGCTAATATGTATTTTTGTAGACACTTTGTAGTCCTTTTATAGGCAAATGGTTTAACTAGTGTTGGAAAAGCGCTACTTTGGCTGTTAGAAATAAATAAAACGAATGTAGGTAATCGAAAACGTTCCTTAAATTTAGTATATTGTTTTAACGTTGTAAATTTAGCATAATGTATAAAGTCAGACGAGTATTAGATCGGAAATAACAATAACTGAAGTACACAAGTGTTTATTGTACCTCCTTCTCCAATTGACACTTATAACATTAAATCGATTAGGTTTCGTCGTCCGATTGACTAATTAAATTCTTTTCAATTATTTAATCTTTAAGTAAGGTATTGGTCGAGATAAAAAAGTCAGTGCCACAAGTGGGATTCGAACCCAGGACCTTGGGTTACGGCTAAGCCAAAGGTCGTGGGTTCGAATCCCGCTCGTGGCACTGACTTTTTTATCTCGACCAATACCTTACTTAAAGATTAATTGGAAACTAATGACAAATTAATTATACTTTTTATCTAAGGTCTTGTGTGAGATGGAAAGTATAATTAATTGAAATAATTAACATGGTCACTTATGACTTCTAAACATATATAGATTAATTAATGACAAATATTTATTTCTCAGGTCAGTTTATTAGTTTTTTTACACGATCAGTTTATATTTTTTTGGGGGGATTTATAAATAATTGCCTGTGATTAATTGATTTTAAGGGAAAACTTACTTGCTGAAAAAAAGTTTTCTACGGATGATAAAGACGAGAAAGACCTGCCTTAACAGACGACACAACTTTCTCATCTACAGCTTACGTATGCGACAGATAACATTTTTTAAATGTTGTAATCGAATAGATTACACGACATTTGAAAAATGGCAAAAAGGAGAGAAAATTCGAAGGTAGGTTGAAGTCACGATAGCTCATGTGGTAGAGCAGCGGCGTATTTAGCCGAGGGTCGTGGGTTCGAATCCTGCTCGCGACACTGGCTTTTTTATCTCAATCAATACGTTATATAAAGATTAATTAATTGAAAAACGTTTTCGGTCAATCGGACCACGACATCTAATGGATTTTTAAAATATTTAAAATGTAGTGAAGTAACCGTAACAATCAATTCAGCTGTTGATGGACAGCTTCTTGTTTGTTATTATGACGGTCATGACTATGGGAAAACTGCAGGATTTTTTAAATAAAAAGCTAAAAACTTGCACTCATAATGGTTTTGTTCAAATAATGATAGTTTGTTCATAAAAACGAACAATGTATGTATATCATGATCAGAACAAATTGCTACAAAACAACATTTTTTGATCAACTAAATCGAGTAATAAGTGATTTAGTAGTAGGGAATGATCAGTTCCGTTATTTCCTCCTTTTCCCTCTTCCTCTTTTTCCCCTTTTGCCGTGGGCCAACATGATGGCCAAGTAGGATCTGTAGAACCTCTGAATCTTCCTAGCGGCGATTTTCTTCTGCACCTCGTACAATTTGGCGTCCCAGACCGACCGTTCATAGTCGGCTTTTTCCTGCATCAGCTCATCGTACCTCGCCTTTTGTTCCTCGAATACCGCCTTAAAAAATATATTTAATATATTCGCCTTCAGGTTGTCCGGCGCTTGCCTTTTCGAAAAACAAGCGAAATAAAAGCTCACCGTAAGCTCGTTGAGCGTTGCCGTCTCTTTTTCGTAACTGCACATTAGTTTATCCAGGATGATTTCTTTTTTTTTCATATCTTTATTGTACTGGTTTATGATTTCCTTAAGCTTTTCATCTATTTTATTTCTGAAAGAGTTTTGTTTTATCGATTCATATGTCAAGATTCTCTCTCACTCCCTCCCTCTCTCTCTCTCTCTCACTCCCTCCCTCTCTCTCTCTCTCTCTCTCTCTCTCTCTCTCTCCCTCTCTCTCTCTCCTTCTCTCTGCCTTTGTTTATCTATCTGCCTGCCTCTTTCCCTGTCTGACTGTCTCTCACTCTCTCCCTCTGTCTGTCTATCTGCCTGCCCCTTTCTCCGTCGTTCTGTTTGTCTTTGTATCTGTCAGTCTTCCTCTTTCTCTCTCACACACACACACACACACACACACACTCACACAAGTCATTCTTGCTGTCATTCAATTACATTCTATGAATTTCATACCTTCTTATCTTCCTCCCTAGTAGGATTTCCACATTTCTCTTTCACTCTCTCTCACACACACACACATACACATTCTCTCTCACTATTTCTTTAAGGGTTTTGTCCGTTAAAATATGGTGTTTACCTTTCATTCCTAAGGTCTTTTTCTTTTTTCAGATTTTCATCCCTCGTCCGTTCGTGTTTGTTTTTAATTTCATTAACTGCACTTAAAATAACTTCCTGCTTCTTCTCGCTTGCTTTTCTATCAGCAGCCATCTTCGTTTCCATTTCTTTACTAAAATATTAATCTTATTAGAAAGAAGAAGTGAACGTAAGAATGTGGTGAAATATTACACTTACGCGTGTTTGAGCATCGAATTGCGGCAGAAGACTTTCAGCTTTTCCTTCTGCTTTTCCAGGGCGGAAATCTGCTGCCAGCCTCGCTGTACCTCGACCGCGTTGTTTTCAACGGTCGGGCGGATCTCTGACACCACCTCGGATATTTCCTCGGGCAGATTTTCACATCGCGTGAACTTCTCGGCCAAACCCTCCTCACCTTCGTCCTCGGCCTTCGGGTTCCGGAGCATTTTGAGGAGCACCTCGGCTATAAGCACTTCCAGCTTCCAAATGCAGTTCCTGACGTGTGGAGGGAGCTGAGAAAACCCACCCTTTTAACCCTACAGTCCATGTATCAAAAGGAAGATTGTATAGTTTGATTCTACGAGTTGAAAATCTGTCAGCAGTTGTATAGTTCGGCATCACATCATTTCCAGTGGACAAGACAGACGAATTTCCGAAGCTTAAATGACCGAGAGGAGAAGAATTAGAACTATCAAACTTCTTAAAAATCATTAAGCTCAGACCAATCTTTAATAAAATGTTAACCTTTACTTAGAATATTTCTGTCAATTAGTAAAATATATGATCACAGTAAAAACGTATCATTTCTTTTTTGAGGAATCGAAATGTTTTCCTAACTTCAGCATCCTTCAAGCACTGTTTTGAAGTGATCGCAGACAGCCATTGACAATGAATGAAATCTTATAAGTAGATATTGTAAATGTGTTTATGTTGTTCTAATGGACAAAATGAAGGACATTTTTAATTTTTTTATACTGTTTTAATTTGAAAGTATGGATGAAGACATATCGGCCTGACTTAAGATTTATTTATGCTAACTTTTAGGCTTTTATTTCGCTCTCCTCTTAGACTTCTTTGACTTCTTTGAGTGAGCATTCATGAAAGTTCGATACATCCTGAAATATCTTTGTATTTTCCTCGCCGCGATGTTTCTCTTTAGCTCCAACAGCTTCTCCCGTCGGACTTTTGCTTCGTACCGCGATTTCTCTTTCATCAAAGTGTAAAATCGCGTACTTTGGTTGTCAAAGATTTCCTGAAAGTTATCAATATTAAAAACTTTCTAATTCGAATCGGTAAAGGGTTTAATTTAACGGACTTTTAATTTTTCCTTGTTGGCCATGAGTTCTTCGAAATCAGACGACAATTTGTCCACCACTTTTTGGCGTTTTTTCAATTCCTTTTCGTAATTCGAAACGACTCCGGTGACAATCCTTTGTATCCTCTGCCTGGAAGTTACTTTTCATTAGATCTATCCTTTTTAAATCTATAAGTTTTGAAATTACTCTTTCTCTCTGAGCTCTTTTTCAATTTTTATGTGTTCCTGTTTAGCCGATGCGTACTGGTTTTCTATATCTTCTTTTATCGCGTTCGCTTTTTCCTGTTTACGTTCGCTCACTTTCCAGTCCCATTCCATTTTGTTATTGGCTTCTAATCTGAAAAGGTTTTAACAGCAGATTAGCCCACGTCTAACAAGGGGACGACCAGGTTGGTGGGTGACGGAATGGACTAAACTTTTTTTTGGTGATTCTACATTCCAAAATATCGGGCACGTATCCGCCCGTCTTGTGAATAGGCTCTGGTTTTGTACATTTTTTTGTTTTGAAAGTTTAAACTTTACGTTTTTTAATATTTTTATTTCGCCGTTCTACTTGATCAAATCAACTATGTTTGTCGCAATTAAATGAACATAAATCGTTATTTATGATACAGAAAATATTATTTTTCGTGTATTAATTTCATTGTTGGTTAACATAAAAACAAAAATGACAAAGAATATTCTAATTTGGCATGATTTAAAAAGATAAATCAACAAAATTCTGTTTTAAAAAAAAACATTTTAACAAACATTCTGTAAGCAAAGTAGGTCAGAATATGTTCAAAACTTAGATTTGACCTCATCGTCATGATTCTAGCGTTTTAAAACCCCAAGATACAGATTTTCGCGGAATTCGGTGTAAATTAATTTTTTGATTGATTATTTCGATGATTTCTGCGTTACTGCATTCCTAGAGCAAAGCTCTAACATAATTTTTCTCAAAAGCTAGTAAACCGATTTTCATGGTTGATAATTCCTTTTAAAGGAATTGTCAAGTGCATTTTATAACTGTATCAAACATTAAAATTGACTATTATTTCCATAAACAAAACGAGGTTAATTTTTAGTAAATAATTTTGCTATTTTGTGTGTTTTACTATCCAAATCTTTTATATATTTTTATGGTACATAGGTCGTTTAAAAGCTACTTATTCTCTTCTCTAGAGGTGCTAAAACGCAATTTCCTATAAGTTTCACGAAAAAAAATTTATGACTTAGTTTGCTTGAAAAATATTTGGTTTGTGGAAATGTTTTGGTTATTGATAAACTTTGATAGTTTTACTATATTTTTATTGCAATCTACATAAATATGCTGTAAAATGATATGCTCACATAGTTGATGTGAGCAAGGAGAAAGACGAATTATAAGTTTATATAAAAATATAAAAAAAACTTAAAATTTCAACTTTAAAAAATGTTTATTCGGAGATCCTGAGATGCGGTCTGGTGTGAGTAGTTTTAGAAAAATATTTTCTTTATCGTGCCAACGTTTCGATCTTTATTAAGATCATCTTCAGGGCTTGGAATTTATAAACATTGTTTGAATTTTACAAATACATGTAGGATGTGGAAAAAATTATGAATTTATACAATGCTAGAAATTTTTTTAGATTCAATCAAAGTATTCGTATTTAAAGTAAGTAAAAGTATTCGTAAAGTATTTTTTTAATCTAAAATTTTCTAGCATGGCATAAATTCATTCTTTTTTAAAATCTAAAATTTTCTAGCATTGTATAAATTCAAATTTTTTTTAAATCTAAATTTTTTTAGCATTGTATAAATTCATAATATTTTTTTCCAAATACTACAGGTATTTGTAAAATTCAAACAATGTTTATAAATCCCAGGTCCTGAAGATGATCTCAATAAAGATCGAAACGTTGGCACGATAAAGAAAATGTTTTTTTTAAAACCTACGTCACACCAGAGCGCATCTCACGATCTCCGAATAATCATTGAATAACTGTCAAAATACCACACATTTAAAAAATGTTTTCGGCGAAACCAGAGCCTATACACAATAAATGGCCTATATGTGTTCTATACTTTCGAGTTTAAAATCACCCAAAAAAATTGGTACAATCCGTGACCCAACATCCCGGTCGTACCCTGCATCCTAGTGCTGGAAGCCATACCGTAATTTTTCCATCGCTTTTTTACAAAATGACTGTAAAGCGTTTTTTTCCATTTCGAGGCCTTCGATCCTCTTCCAGCCGGCTTGCAGTTCGTTGGCGTTGTTGTAAACTCGGGGCCTGATTTTTGTCGTGAGCTGAAATATTTCGTTTCCGAGTTGGCTCGTCGTCAGGTATTTCCTTGCCATTGTTTCAGCCCTATCGTTTTCTTCTTTGGGACTTTTGAACATCATCAGCAATATTACCTCGAACACGTTTTCCAGGCAGTTTATGAGCTCTTTGACATTATCTGGCAACTGCCGCGGGAAATGTTTAGCTTAACAACTTAGCATGTTAACTTAAGACTACGATTGATGTTAACTTGTAAAGTCGCAAACATATAAACATACTTTCCTCTCATGACCCCAATTTTTTGGGGTGCTTAAACCAATTTGAAGATGTGTGCAATGTCGGGGTCTGATCAATGTCGCTTTACATTACTATGTACTATAGATAGATGTTGCACTCGCTGTGGCACAAAAAACGTCTATACGACCAAATAAACATGAAGGTATGAAATCATAAAGGGTAGGTATGATTTGAAAAAATTTAGTGGTTATCGTTCTAGATAAGATTCAACTTTCAGATTTAAAAAAAATGTATAGGCCTTGAAAAGATGATCAAACAGAATAGTTTTATTGCTGCGTTTTCAGTGATTATTTCACCTCAATTCTAGGTCCGACTGGTCTCGCTTAATATTATTATTACTTCTTTCAATTAATTAACCTTTTTATGTAAGGTTTGATTGAAATGAAAAAGTTAGTGTCACGAGCGGGATTCGAACTCACGACCTTCGGTTTTTTCATTTCAACTAATACCTTACATAAAAATGTTAATTAATTGAAATAAGTAATTTGGTCAAACAGACCAATAAATATTATTACAGATTGGCTTTGCCACTGGTACGCGAATTTTGTACATAACCAAGAAATGTTTATCATTTTAGCAGGATTATCTTCGATCATTGATATTTTTTTAAATGAATCGTAAACGATAGGGTTAACTATGCCTTTGCTAAACCATACATTGCGGTCAGATTTATACTAATTTTACTATTGTACTAGTTGTCTACTGTTTGATAAAATTAAAAGTCTTCGGTCCGTTTGAAGAAAGAAGAGTTTCTCCCATTGTCTTTTTCAATATCAGTCAGCTGCCTATTTTAGATTACTACTATTATTTGTCATATTATTACTAGTTCTTTCAAGTAACTATGGGAAGAGTAGAAAAGTCAGAAATCGAACTGATGTAGGTGAATGTACCGTACGCTATCATGCTGACAGGAGTATTTTTTTATGTTAACTGGAATATTTTTACCAAGAGCTAAAATGGTTCATAGGCAATGCTTTCTTATTTTAAACATGTGTCAATTTTAAACAGTCGTCAAAATATTCTCACCTGAGAAAGCATATTTTCGGTGCAGAGCTTCTGCACTTCTGGCTTGTTGTAAAGCATATCGGCACAGATCCATAAATCTTCAATTGACTTGTTGGTGATGTTTTCCTTGTGCACCGGGTAATTGGCGTAAAACTTCTCGATGCTGCTAGCGGATGAAGCCGTGACGAAGTGGCTCTTCCGACCTGCACCGTAGTGATCTTCGCCGCCCATTATCGAACAACCCTTTAAGCTGATGTTCCTCATCGTGTTCTTGATGAACATCAATTCCTGGTATGTTACGTGCATTGCGATCATCTTGAAACTCAACCCGATCAGTTGAGGTAAGCACATCTGAAACAGTATCGAAGATTTTTATTTTTTAATCTGCCGTCGGATTACCATGATCGTTACCGTGAAGGTCAGTTTGTCCAGAAATTGTGTGGCTAACTTCTGGACCTTGTACACCTCAGCTTGGACCCTCACTTTCTCCACCGCCTGCTGTTCACCCTTCAGAAGCCTCAGGACTTCTGTTCCGACATCTTTCAACTTTTTGCTTCGTTGGTCTTCTTCTTTGCTCATGCTCCCGTTGAAACGTTTAACAGTCAAAATCAACTGAATTTACAACAAACTAATAAAGAAGCTAAAGTAACCTCTGTAAATGCATAAAAGAACTTGTATTGAATCAATAACATAAGACGTTGCTAACGGAAACCATTATCATTGTACACATGGCGTCTGTTTTTCAACTCCTGTTCCATATAATTTTGCAGTTTGTTTTTATTTGAAGCCTTTGGCTTGTTTTGAAGTTCATTTGAACAATAATAATCAAGACTCAAGTTTGGCAGTTGAATAAAATTGACATAAGTACAACTTAACATGAACTCAACAAATGAATGAAGTCATAATTCCTAAGAAGACATCACAACTGTAAAATTATTTTCCCCAAAAATGTGCAATACTTTGCAATTTACTAAATTTCAGTTGTTTTAGACACATAAACTGAGGCAAATTCTAAATTTGATAAATAAAACAATATATATAAAACAACTTTATGCCACAATATGCTTCACATTGTCTCACATGTTTGTATTATTACTCAAATCATGGAAAATTTATAATACTCTCTCACACAGAAGCAAAACGGTGAGAGAGAGAGAAAAAACCTAAGGCTGGCTTTACTATAGATTTTATTTTACCATTATCTACAACTTTATCTAAAGGTACACAGACTGCAAAGGTAAAGTTTGGTAGTTTGAGGCTGATTGTTTAATTCTGATATTTAACGGTTTTGAATGTTAATCTATGACCTGGTTATCCCTTGAAAAAGAGTGAAAAAATAGTGTTGCAATTTGATGCTGATATTTAACATTTTTCAATATTAATCTGTCAGACCTGGTTCTCCCTTGAAAAAGAATGAAATTGCCATTTTCAGTTGTACTTTTGTTATTTTGTCAGTTCTTCTATAAGTTTGCTACAGTTTACATACAACTGACACTTCAAACTAATTAGAATTAATTGGCCAGGATCCAGGAAATTTATATTTCAGTAAGATTCTTTGTGATTTTGAATCCATCAGATTAGCTTCATCATCAGCATAACTAGTGGGTTGATTTTAATGAATGATGATCTTAATACCCAAAATAGATTTCTATCTTTAAGTTGATTTATTATACGATGGATTTTGGTATATAAATTCTCATTATTTTGGTAATCAAGGAAAGAAATATTTAAGATGACTAAAAATAATTACAATTTATGTAACAACATAACTGCACATGACAAAACTTTAAAAATTATAGCACCCCACTCTGTGTATTTCATAGAAGAATTACAATCTTAATGAAAATCAGTTTAATACCAAACTGCAAATGGTTAACGTTGATCCAAACAAAAATCCAAAACTTTGTGCTGTTCCTAGCAGAAATGCCTTTATACAAGTTATACTTAAAATATCTGAAAATTTGATTTTTTTCAAATTGTCAACTCTCCTGCTATATAGTTGTGGCAGTTTGAAGCATTTGTAATGTACAAATCTCTGTGCTAACATGACAATGTAATATTCTGACAATAAAAAAGGTTAAAAGAGTGTGTTGGCCAGGTTTGTAACCATCTCCAGTGGTTGATCTGAATCTTATGTATTTCTGTTATAATTAATTGAAATAAGAGGGCAGGTAAAAGAAGTCCCTTCTCCCAACAACAAACATGTACAATGCAGATGCTATATCCCTCGCACTGAACGTAATACAAAGAAAACAATGAAAAAATAGTATTGCCTTGTATACAAAAAACATTTATAATGCACGGATTCGCTCAGTGTAGCCTCACAATTCAAGAGAAAAGCCTCTACGGATGCACCTGCTCGTGGGAAAGAGACTAACATTATGTAAAGATTAAGCATTGAGCATCTCTTACAATGTAGAAACTAGAAGCCTAAAGCAACAAAGCAGTGACTAAAGAGTTCCTGATGTTCTCTATCTTATGGCAGAGGGCATGTATCACTTTTTCAATACCTCAGGGCTATAAGAATTTTTATGTATGTAATAGGTGTTTATGTGTTATGGTGTGAATTTAAATTATTAGTGTGAAAGAGGGGATTATCCCCCACCCTGAGAAATATCGAGCACTCTGAGGTGAGAATGTTGTTACATGGAGAGTGAAAGTTACTTATGGATGGAGGATTTAAACCCACTCCGAGGAATATCATGGGAGGGGAGTGAATGTGACCAGGAGTCCTGTTTTTGGATGTGACAGGATATCGGAGTTGTCGGAATATACAGTACCACGATGCAAGATGTGCGCTCTGGCTTTCTCTCTGGGAGGCTATGGTGTGTTTGCTGGCTCTTTGGGTTTAAGCAGGAAGCAGGGCTCTCAGGTAAGTGTGAAAATCGTTATGTGTTTATGTTTTTTCTTGTTTTTTTTATTACAGTCTTTTATATTAGAGTAATAAAGTAATAGTCTTTTGACAACCTGAGGTACCTTCTAGAGGTTAACTTGCTAAGAAAACCAGAGACAAAATATGATGGTGTAAGTGACAAAGATGCACAAAATAAAAGAAAAAAAGAAAGATTTTTCTTTAAAGCTCAGAGGGCTGGTAACGACTGCTTAATGGTCCGCCCATAAATAATACATATATAATTGAAATAAAAATTCTGTAGTCTTGACTGCTGATATTTTAGGTACATTGCTTTTGGTTTTTGTTTGTAATAAATGGAAACTTGTCAAATAAACAAGGCATAATGTATCAAAAAATTGTTCTAATTTATTTTTGTACAGAAAATTATAAATTGCAAAGTTTCATCAGTACAACAGGATAATAAGCCATCCTTTAATGTGAACATTATTATACAATAAAAAATTTAAATATAATAAGAAAGACAGTAACAGGGCTCTACTCTTTTCAGAATTTGTGTTTCGATTTTTAAAAACTATATTTACAAATAGTAAATTCCAAAAGTAGAGAACAATGTCTCATCTAATATCTAAACATTTTTAAACTAAATAACACTTTAATATTTAAAATTATAAACATTCAAGACATTTTTAATTATGGTAATATGTACAAGTAACGTCTACATGAATATTTTATTTACAATTTAAAGATTGTACATTCATTTCTAATAATAAAGTAATATTAAATAAACATGGCATTTAAGTAGTTTTATATTTTTTATTATTTTTTATAATGTAGATTAAATATTGTAACTCAAAGAGTCAGAATTTTTGAGTACAACTTTACATTTATAACTAAATGAGAGTTTGTGTTTTAATAAAATATTCTAAACAATGTATCTATTAAATTATTTTATTTTTGAGATAGCTTTAGACAAGTCTGAACAAAGTCTTTAATTCGCTTAAAATAATAAATACAACAGTCAACTTTAAAGCAAGATAAAACCATTATCACAGTACTTGCTTAAAAAATAATTTTATATTAATTTAATTCAACAAAAATGTTGACATTAACAAAATTACATTAGTATTTGGCCCATTTCTTTTTGGGAGGTGGAAAGATTATTTTGATAATTTTTGCACCAATCAGCAAATTGGAATACATTGTCAGTTCATAAACCATGTGCACTCTAGCTGCCTTTATTTTTTGATAGTAATGAGTCTATTTCTCACTGCTTGATTTTGAAAATATCTGTCCACAGGTTTGATTTTGTTTCAATTTTATGGTAAAGTGGAAAAAATTAAGAGCCACGTATGTTTAAAATCGTGTTCCGACATTTCCGATGTCGTCGATGATGTCAGCTTGACTCTCTGGCTCTTCTTCTTCCACCTTACCGAGTGGGTATTATACAAATGACGAGAAGCCGGGTAGTGGTGCTCTTGACCTGGCCATGTTGTTCATGATGATTTGTCCACCATTTAAGCTCATAACGGCACTGCCCTCAGGCTCCGAGTCTGTGTAGCTGGAGTAATTCCTGACGGGTTTCTGTCTCTTCCAGGACTGCCTGAGCGAATCGTTTACGTTCGCATAATGGTTGACGAAACTATGAGGATCTGACCTTACACTTTCATTTTCACTTTCAGATCCCTGAAATTGAAATATAACTTTTAAAACAATGGAATAAATTACACAAAATTAGTTAATTTATATCGACTGATTTGAATAAAATTCTAATTATTTCCTACTTTATCCCTCAGGACAATATATAAATTATTACATAAAAATTCATTCAGCCCAAAAATAATTAGATTTTGCAATGGAAAATGTTAAAAATGAAATTATTTTACCTGTGAATCAGTAGAACTTATCTCAGATGGTTTTTCCGTCAGGCTGCTATCATCAGGGTTTTCATCGTAAGCTTTAAGACTTTCATCATCACTGTGATAGGCAACCGAAGCGGGAGACGGTCGAGGAGGGGGTTTTGGAAGCATTGGTGGTTGGGACCTGCCAAGGGTGCCGTTTCGCTTATTACCCCGGTACACTTCCATTGCTAGCTCTTGTCTGTCGTTGATATCCATTGCCATGGATTCTTCAAGAGTCTTCTGTGCTTCTTCTGGAAAAAACAGAACAAAGCAACCTTTTAAGATAGTACTATTTAAAGATATGCAAGGAAACACTTACGTTTGTATTTATAACTCTTGCTTTTTACGCAGAGAACGGCGACGACCATTATGATTATTATTATCGAGCTTGCTGCCACAACTACCATAAACCACGTCTGCCTGTAAAAAGGCTTCATCTGTAGGTAGCCATACTCGAGGTAAAGCTTTGATGGAGTTAAAACCTACGAGGAAAACAATTGATTTAAATTTTAAAAATCAAATATGTAAATAAATAAAGTACTTACAGCGTCATCAGAATAAGCTGGATAACTGATGCCGAATTTGTTGTAAGCTATTAAACGGAAATTGTAAAATGTTGATGGTAAAAGATTTTGGTAAGAGACGCTAAATTCCTGCAGTGGCCCATTTCCAGTCCTTGTCACAGTTGTCCACCTAGTGTCATCTGTAAAATTTAAATTATGGTAAAAAATGTTTGATTAAAAGTCATTGACGAAAATATATTATATACACATTAAACAAAGTTCAGAAACAGTGACAATTAGAGGTCAATAAGAGTTCTAAAAAAAAGTATCAGGATAACAGTTTATAATCAAAGACCCCCATGTCTATGTTTATAAATGAACACCATTTTACAGCTAAATATCTAATTCCACTCGTTATTAACACTACAAAATACAAAATATCATTTCTTTAAAAAAGCAGTACACACATACTAAGTGATCGAGTATCAAAGTGTTAAAAACAAATTATATTTACTCATAGCTACAAATATTGAAGTTAATTCTACTCACACGAATATATACAACAGTAATTAAACAATTCATATTACAACAATAACAAATAAAAAATATGATACAAGTCCCTTATAAAAATTGAAATAAACATTTGTTTAATAATTACTTAAAATAATAAAAATCATGTTGAAATGAATTCGGTCCTCAGATCTAACCAATTTTGAGTTTTAAATTAAAAATATTTCCCAAACTCCTTTTAACTTTTTTTTTGTCACAGTGCTGGAGGTCAACGTTTGTTTGTATACTTAGTTTTACAACTAAGTGCATATAAAAGTTTGTATAATTAGTTTTACTGTATATATGTTGTATTTTGAAGCAACAGTTGAATGATAACACCATGCTCTGTTGATCGTAGTTAATAATTTTGCAATTAGTTTCACAACTGATAATGTTTCTGAAATGATTTCGTCAGATGAAATGATTTAATGTTTGTTGTTGAAATTTAACGACAGAAGAAAATGTGTCAAGAATCATATGTAATCTTCAATATAAGAAAGAAATATCAAAACAATGACAAAGCGCTAGCATTTATAGCTTTGTTATTAATGATTTTTTTTTATTGTAGACAATGCCTAAAATGAAAATTTAATATAGAAATTTAGACGTTTTGATAAAAGGATTGTTCTAGGCGATCCGATAAGTATGTTAATTTTTTAAAGTTATAAACCTTTATGATTCAATGAACAACTGACAAAATGTTCAAATTAATGAAAAAGCTTTTTAATAACAATATATTACATTATATTAACAACCAATCCATTTGTTAGCTCAAATTAACATACTGTGAACATTGTTAGTACATTACATGATTTGAGTTGTGACAATTTACAAACAGCAAAAAAAAAAAAAAAAAGGAAAAACTTACACCAATTCCAAGTTATACCTCCTAAAAAATTATCAATTTGTTATAAAAAAAGAAAAAAAGAAATAAAATGAAACATTTAAAAATTACAAAGAAAATAAAAATAATTGTAATACAACGTTGGTAAATATTACCTTTTCTTTTGCTTTGGATGTAGTATCCAAGAATAGGCCCTTTTCCAGAAGCAGTGTTTGACCAGTGCATTTCTACATTTGTGACTGTCTTGGCAACAGTAAATGCACGGGGTGTGCTTGGAGATCCCTCTTGAGGTCCGGTCGTCACATTAGCTCTGATGGGAGGGCCGTAATCAATTGTTTCAGCGCGTACGGTGAACGTGTAGGACACTTCCTCTTCAAGCGTCTGCACTTCTAGTTTTGGCTCGGACACCTTCTGCTTTACTTGCTTGCTAAATCCTGAAATAATATATTTTAATTATTTCATTTGGTCGGTTCTTCCCTCAATTCAATTTATAACTTACGGTCATTTTGTTCTGCTGTTTCATATGTGACTATATAACCTATCAGTTCACCGTTGCGTTTCTTAGGAGGGTCCCATGAAACGATGAGACTTGTCATTGTTATTTCAGTAAATTCAAGATTTCTCGGAGGCCCAGGAAGACCCTGAAAAAATTTAAAACACACAGTTTAATTTTAATATTCAGTTGTAATAAACATAAAATGTGAAAAAATAATGTGACAACAATTTTCATTTTTAGTAGTACATAATAGTTTATTTGTGTGCGTGTTTGTGTGCTTTTTCCTCAACATTCCGAATTTATTCGATTTGCTCCCATAAAGTAATTACAGATCATTAACAAAATTATTTTCATCCTATAGAACTAATAATCTGTAATAATTTTTACACAATAAACTGACAGCACAATAACTAACCTAGAAATTGTTCAGAAACAGGAAACAAAGTAAACAGAATTGAAATGTGTCAAATTAAGTTAAAGTTTATATTGTTTAAGTTCAAACTACTTCAAGTTTAACTAAAACTTCGAGTGATGCTGGCCATGCTTCTCCCTGAAGAAAAACTACATTTATGTTTCTCCTTTGTGTTTGGAAAATGGTACAATCCTGAATGATATGTTCCCAGATAAAAATTTTCAATGATTGCTTTTTTGGATGTGAGACCTCGCCAAGTACGCCGCATTTTTGCCATGTCTGCTTATAGCCTGGGTAGCTTTTTAATTAATTGGCAATTCCACCACCAAATGGGATTTGACGATTGAGGAGAACTTTTTGGTATAAGATCCATTTTCTGTGTTGTGCCAGTCCACATCCCTCTGTTTTGGTACGTTTATAAGAGGAAGATACGAGGTTAAATTTTGGTTCCATTTGTAAGTCTCTTTCTATTTATTTAGTCTTCACATCCAACTTCCTCATTGCCCAGTGTTCCAATGTGACCTTTGGTCCAACCACAAAGGCACATCCAATTTGGTCTTGGATACGACAGCCATCTGTGTAAATGTTGACTGTTGTGGGCATCTCGTCTTCATGCAACACTTTGTTTCACGGGGGGATGTAGTTATGTTTCCAGTGGTCTTTCCTCATATTTAGGAAACTCTGGTCTAATTGCGGGATTTTTATTCCTAGCGTTATGATATTCCACCATGTTGTTGAGTTGGATATCTATTGGGATTATTCTTGCAATAAGGCATGCTACCTCAAATGAAATCGTTTGGAATCCTTTTATCATTCAAAGGAGCATCTGGCGTTGAATTCTACGGACACAGCACTCTCTCCTCTCTCTCTCTCTCTCTCTGTGCGCTCGCGCGTGTGTGTGTGTGTGAGAGTGTCTGCACGCGTACGTGTGCGTGTGCTTTGAATTTTCGTTAGTTCATATTATAATAGGTTTTTAAGGAATTTTTTTTATACCTGATGGGTCCTGACAGTTATGGGTGTTGATCTTGGACCATCGCCAGCTGGATTGAATGCCAAAATTTGTATTTTGTACTTTGTGTATTTGTCTAGAAAAACTAAACTGTGAGAGTTGTATGTCGCAGGGACGACTTCTGTCTCCTCTTCTATTTTTTCATCAGGCCCTAAATCCTGAGGTGACTCGACCATGAGATAAAAAATCTGAAAAAAAGAAATTATTAATCATACCAATTTAAAAAAGCATGCCAGTACAATTCCTTACTTTATAACCTAGGAGATCTCCATTTTGCATGCTGCTTTGTGGAGGAGTCCACCGGACACGGATTTCTGTTGGAGAGATGGGTGTCGCATTCACACGAAGAGGTTGACCTGTAGGGACTGCTTCTCCAACATAAACTGTAACAGGGGTGCTGTATGGGCCTACCCCTTCTGAGTTGAAAGCAGCAACTACTATTTCATAATTGTGATCTCTCATTAAGTCGGTTAAAACCACCTGTCTTGACTGAAAGAAGACATGTTTTAACATTTTTCATTAACAATGTTTAATATAAATTAATTACATCAACTCCTTGGACTTCTTGTTTTGGAGTGGCTTGAAGTGAAGTCGGAAAGTCAGTTAATGGCTGGAACATGATCCTGTAACCACCGGTTTGTTGATCCCCACTCCAGAAAGCAGCGGGTATGGGGGCCCAGTTGACTTCTACGCTGTTTGTTGTAATTGGAACTACTCTGACACCTGAAACTGCCCTACTTGGTGCAGCGGGTAAAGTCCGGACCTGGGCGCTTTCAGGACTCCAACCACTCGGGCCAATGTCATTTGTGGCTTGAATTCTGAATCTGTAGAGCGTAAATGGCTTCAGCTTGGTGGCGGTAAATGAAGTGACCTGGGGATCGAGTCGCTCCATGAGACCCATCCAAGGACCCACACCTTCAGAAACTTCGACTGTGTAGTACCTAAAGTGTCAATTGTAATTAATATCACAAAAAATTCATTAGCTTATGCCAGAAAACATTCTGTCTAAAAAAACCCAACAAAATTCAATTAAGATGGATTAATTACCTTAGCGGAGCATAACCATCACGTCCAGGAGTCCAGCTAAATGTGATTTGCGTTGCTTGTAACTGACTTCTTGATAATTGTGGTTTTGAAGGTGGTTCTGGTGCCTCTCTGTTATTTGTGGTGTAAACTACAGCGCTGGCTGACTTTCCCCAGCCGAGTTTGGTTTGCGCGCTGACTGAGAACATGTAGTATTGCTCTGGTTCCAATTCAGTTACCCTGTAAACAAACGTACTTGTATGTAATCTGCATTGTAATAGCCGTCTAAGTTACCATGAAAATATACTAACCTGTATGTCCGATCTGATGGAGGGAACTCCCTAGAAAAATTAAATGTTGATGGAACACCGTATGTATTATGTTGTAATCTGTAATTGATACGGTAAGCAATGATTTCTCCATTAGGCTCATCCGGTTCGTCCCAAATGATCCTAGCCATTGTAAGTGATACGTCAGGAAATGAGACATTTGAAGGAGCACCAGGCACTACAAAAACAACCACATTAGTTCTGTATAAATATATATTAAGAATTGTAAACATACCATCTTCGAAGGTTTGAACCCTTACAGGAGGTGTGCTTAATATACCATCGCCTAAACGCGTATATGCCAACACTTGAATGCTATAGACCTGGAATTTCCTCAGCTCAGTTAATGTAGTAGTGAAAGTCTTATTTGTTGGAATATCTTTGATCTTTGGTGGCTGGTTTCTCACTCCTCCATAAAATACTTTAAAACCTTCAATTTGCCCATTTCTATGTTCTCTAGGCACATCTCCCCATTTTACGACAATCGTTGTGGATGAAGTTGTATTTGCTTCAACATCCATTGGACCAAATGAAGGAACTAGACAAAAAAACATATATTCATTTTATATCCAGTGGAAAAAATATGAAAAATTAATAACCTACCAGATTCTCTAGTTCTTTCTAAGGCAGGAGGACTCATGGTCGAAGTGCCTACATCGTTAAAAGCATTCATAGTGACTTGGTATTGAGTATATTCTTCGAGATTGTTCAATATGTGTGAGTTTGCAGTGTGATCTTCAATTGATATACTTTTAAAAATGTTTGTCCCGATTTCAGAATATGTTATGTTGTATCCTCTTGCATTGCCGAACCACTCGACTTGTTGCAATGGAATCCATCTCACTCTCAACTCTGTTGCGCTCATTGCGCGTACAGTGACATTTCTGGGAGGATGTGCTGGAGGTGCCTGGATCGTCTGGAACTCTTTTGTCGGTAAAGAAGGCTCTGAGTTACCCACTACATTACTCGCTATCATCCTAAGCATGTACACCGTGAATGGAGTAAGGCCATCTACTGTCACCGTATTCCCTTCGGGTTGACAGAATTCCCTCATTGCAAACCAACTTGAATTTCTTGCTGTTTTTGCCTACAAATTATTAAAAACAAAATAAAAAAACTTTTAGACCCTGTAGCTAATAGGATAGTATTGAATGAAATTGATGAAAAGTACCTCTATGATCCATTTTGTTATTGAACTGTTTCCGTCAAAACCAGGCGTAAATTGCAAAACTACCGAAAAAGGTTCTATATTTGTTACAGCGAGTTTTGTCGGAGGGGAAGGTAAAACAGGTTCAACTCCTGACTGGATTGTAGCTTCTCTCGGAGGACCTATGCCTACATTTGTCCTTGCACTTACGGAAAATTTATAATGTGTAGTAGCCTAAAATAAATAAATATAAGATTTCATTTAGTACAAAAAATTAACATTGTTAGTTTGTAGTTTGGTTACCTGGAGTTGTTCAACCCGCACACTTGTCGTATTTGAAGGAAGTTCAACAGTTTTCATAGTTTTTGGTTTGTTTTTGATGCTGTATGTCAAAACATAACCAGTAAGAATTCCATTGGATTTAACAGGTGGATTCCAAACTACTTTTACAGCTCTGTCAGATATATCTTCAAACTGAAGTCCCTTGACTTCATCAGGCACTGTAATAAAAACGTTAAGTGTCAGTTTAAAGTACACCGTCAGAATAAATCAATAAATTACCGTCTTCATGTGTTGTGACAGTTATAGGTTCACTTTGAACCCCATCCCCTGGATCGGTAAAGCACAAAACGGTAATGTTGTACTCGACATATTTATCAAGTCCAGTCATTATGGTTTTCTGTTCTTCCAATGGGTCTAATAAACTTGGGGGCACTGTGACTGAATGGACAACCTTATCTCCTATGTACGCTTGTAATTTGTATCCTTGATTGATGCCGTTTATTTTTTGTGGATTTGGCGGTTTCCAAGAGACAAAGACCGAAGTTGAGTTCAGTGCTGATACTCTTACATTACCAGGAGGTGCCTCAGGAACTATAATTATTTATTACGATTAATAAAAAAAAGAAGATACATCCTGGACTTTGAAATAAAGAATCAAAAAATTTAACACCTTGAACATACATTAGTAGCAGTAAACAATCTTTACCTATCTTGAATATAACATTTTAAAAATAAATTATACTATCTTACCTCCTTCTTTAGTTTTTATTTTTATTCCATCGCTAAAAACACCAATTCCTTTGTTGTTGTATGCAGCAATTTGTAATATATAATCTTTCCATGTGATGAGATCTTGTATAAGGAAATTCCTCTGGGCCTGAAACAATGCCGGATGTTTAAAATTTGTCTGATAATGTTTAGTGAGGGGCAACATACTTCATTGGTTATGTTGTGAGTGGTCCAAGGGCTATGGTTGTATCCAAACAGCCTGTAACGAATAATGTATCCCAGAATTTGGCCATTTTTATGTTCATCGAGCGGCGGCTGCCATTGAGTTATTATTTCTGATGAAGACCTTGCAGAACCCGCAAAACCGAGAGGCGGACCAGAGGGTGCTGAAAACAGATATAATGCAATATTATTATTCAACAAGTGAAGTTTAAACTCATCTAATTGTATTTATAAAAACACCATGCATATTTTTCCCCGGATTTTTTAAAATAAAATAAAAAAACGGGAATTTTCAGTGTGCAAATTTGTACATACGTTTAATCCCTGGGTGCAACAAAATGATGTTCTTTATTTCTTTCTACGATTTTATTTTATTTTTTTGAAAGTGGTTGTGATAGCAAAATAGAACTTACGCTCTTGTGGCAGGGCAACGACATTACTCGGGTCTGACGGCGATCCTTCACCGACACTATTAACTGCTGATATTCTAAATTGATAAGAAGCAGCGGCTTTTAAATTGCTCAAAACAACCCAACGAGCGTCTGCCGAGACATTTGCATCCTCAGTCACCCAATTAAGCAAAGGATCAGCAATCAAACCTAAAATATATAATGAGTAATTTACGTATAAGAAAGATGATAAACCAAAAGAAATTACCATAATCTGATACTTCTCTCCTCTGAACAATATATTTGATTATTGGACTATTTCCGTCAAATGCTGGTGTCCAGGTGACATTTACCACTCTTTGGTTAAATCTCGTTGCTTTCACATTCATTACAGGATAAGGCAGTTCTAGAAAAATGTAATATTTGTGTATTTACATAATCAAACTACTAATTTAAAATATTATAGGTTCCTTTAAAATGGAGGACTTACCAATGACACTGAGACGAGCAGTTCTTGTTTCATTTCCACCGGCTGAACTGAGCATGCATGTGTAGTCCCCAACATCAGCCGCCCTCACAGCTTGTATCGTCAACATACCATCACCTCCGACTCTTACCCTCTGGGTTCCAACTCCAACAGGTCTGAAAAATTGTATGTAAGTGATGTATTTTGAAAAAAAAATAGATTTAAGTACTTACAAATTGTTATGGAACCAATCGATCTGGTAAGGGACCGTAGGGTCACTGGATACTTTGCACTGAAGGGTCGCTGTATTTCCAAGAAGAACTTTCGTATCAACAGGGGGCTGGATTATCTGTGTGCGGACTATAAAACACTATTGTAAGTAAACATATTTTGAATTGTCGCTTATTTAAAAATAACATTACCTAAAACACTGAGGTATCCAGAGGCTTCAACTCTCCCTGCTTCATTCGAGCGAACACAAGTGTACTTTCCTGCTTCAGATTCTTTCACTGCAGCTATAAGAAGATCTCCTTTTTCTAGAATCTGTATCCTACCAGTAACACCGACTACTTGGTTGTCTAAAAATAATTTTCAAAAATATTAAAAATGCCAAGTATGAGGGGCGAAAAGTAACGTACTTCCATATATCCATGTTGTGTTTGGGACGGGAGAGCCGGCCACACGACACAGCAGTGTGATGTCCTTTCCATCGAGCACTGTAGTGTTTTGGGGTGGTGTCTCCATCACAGGTGCTGAAGCTGAAATTTGACAATATGTCAATATATGGTACTGAGAAAATTTTAAACTAACTTGTGTCGTTGATTACACTGAGAAAACAAGACTAAAATTTCATATTTAATATTAAAAAAAAAAAAAAAAATACTCACAACTACTGTCACATTGAAAATCTACCAGGCAATTACAATCTAATCTAACAAAAGATATAAATAAGCTAATCTAAGATTTAAAAAAATCTAGTCACACAGATCTACAAGCAATACTTTCTTTAACATTACTATTTTTTAATAATATTCACTTATTAAGTTTCCTAGGACTAAGTTTTATAGTAATTAACTTATAAAAGTTTGATTAGAGCATATAAAAAGAAAGTACTTTATGAAATTTGTTTTAACACATCAAACTTTTTTTTAAGAATAGTTACAAAATTTTAGGTTGAAACAATATTGATTGATAAAAAGCAACAAATATTTTGTTCAAGACTTGCCCATCGAAGTGTTGTCATTGATAAAAAAAAAGTTTTTAGACAGGAATTTAATATGTGTATGTTATAAAATAAAATAAAGTTAAAATTGCTATTAAAAAAAAAATATTGTAATGGTAAAAGATAAATTTGCATTGTGTGCAAAATTATCACATAGGTTGGTTAAGAAATGTACGAATTCAAATTTCAGTTTGCCCCAATGTGTATAAGTGTACACATTTTAATTTTTTGCTACTTGACAGGTATTTCTATTACGATCTGGGTATTTGGAAACAAACGCTTACCCATCAAATGTTATTTGTTAGATATGCTCACAAAGCTGCATATTGCTTGTCTAACACACACAAAAACGTGCAGTGCATCACTCAAGTGTTCAAAAATAAATATTAAAGTAAATTTACTAAAATTATTCGGGTGGCAAGCAGTTTACACAACAGACATTGTTCGCTCTTACTATGTGGCCTTTGGAAGTGAGCACCACGGAGGCGGAAAACATTCTCAGCCCATCTTCGCAACCTCCTCTCTGCCACAAAATATTACATTGGCACAAATGGTAAAATAACAGTTCTAATCCTTTTGCAACATTTTTGTTTGTTTAAAATTATGGTATAAAAAACTGTGAGGTGAAACAATATTGAATGACAAAAAGCATAAAATATTTCGTTCAAAAAAACAAAAACAAAAAAAACAACATTTTTAATTAATAATTTTATTTCAAGGTATGTAACTCACTTTTTACTTTTAGCCATGTGACAATAGAATCAGAGCCGCCTTCATTTGTAGCAACACACTGAAGCATTCCTGTATCTTCGGCTTTAAGTTTTTTAATTACCAATGAGCCATCTTCTTCGAATGCATAGCTGAAATACAATTATTTATTTAAATAAAACTATCAATTGAAATCTTTTTTACAATTTTAAAATTTACCGGTCTTTTTGACGAAGTGTCATTAAATTGACACCGTTCCTATACCAAGTTATATTAGGAGGAGGGATGCCCATCACTTCACAAGGTAATGTCACCATCGAGCCATAATCTCCTAGAGTTTCTGACCTCAAAGCCCCGATAACAAACGAAGGCGGTTCTGAAACAAACAAAATGATGATACAATTTGCATATTTTAAATAAATTTACAAACCTTACCTATAACTGTGACCATAGCTGTCACAGTGACTTCTGGATATCCTCCTGACTTAAGCCATGCCTTGCAAGTATACTGACCGGTGTGCGTTAGGTTAGCACTGACTAGAGAAAGTGTCCTATTCCACGGATCATTGAACCTATGTGCTATCCCTGTGTTTTCAATAAGTATTCCGTCTTTGTACCATGCGGTCTCTAATTCATATAATGGCCTTAAAAAAAAATTCATTATAAAGAGAATGAAATAAAAATTTATAAGAAAGTAAATAAAAAAGTATGGACAAGTTTAGTAAGCAAATAAATTAACATAATATACAATATAATAATAATATAAATATAATAATAATAGTTTGAGTGGGACACATTTGATGCCAGATGCCTTGTTACATGCCGGTGGGGTGTATTCATCGGTTTGGCAAAACGCACACGCCATGCGACATACAGTGTATGTCACAGAAATATTCATGAAAACTTCAGAAGCTCCAGTTCTTTTATCTTTCAGTGTGCTCGATGCTGCTCCATGAAAATCTGGACAGTGGAAAACTTGGTTGCTCAGCTTGGTATAAAGTTGATTGGCGTTGCGTCACATCAGGCAAATGGGCATGGGGGTAACACAATCTTTTGTATAAATTTTCATTGGATTGGCATTGGGTGGCGTTGCTTAACAGTTTGACCCTAACAACCATATTTTGCTAACTCAGTTGTCCTTTTTTTAATTTTATTTTCTTTTATTATTTTTTTAATAGCCACTATCCAAAACTAGCTGGTTGAAATGAAGAAGTTAGTGTCACGTGCGGGATTTGAACCCACAACCTTCGGCTGAATACGCTGTTGAGCTATTGTGACTTCGATCCACTCGGACACCAACTCTTCATCTCAACCTACCTTTTGAATTTTCCCTCCTTTTTGCCATTTTTTGAATCCCGCTATTAATTGAAAGAAGTTATTTCATATTCAATCGGACCAGGAAATATAATGTACAGTAATTGATTGTGAGTATTAATGGCTAACTTTTCAAAGAAGTTCCACCCTCATGCCATCCCAAATATTTTTAACGGTATGGATGGTAATAAATGTGATATATTTAAAAACGTTTCTCATATTTACCTGGCATTGACGATACAATAGAGATTCGTCTCAAGATGTCCTTTGACAATATGGAGATCATTCGGGCCGACGATCACCTCCGGGGCGACTTCCGAGACTTCCGGCCCACCCACAATCAGTCTTATATAGGCACTGTTCTCCTCCTTTCCAAGCTGGGTGTTCGTCGCCCTAGCCCTAAAGTAAAAAATACATATAAAATTATAGGCTAAGCCCACAATACTTGGACGTCCTACAGGTTTCGGCAACGGATTTCTTGTAGCTTCCGTTTACCGATGCTTAATAATAATGAATATTTGTTTCGCCTTAATAGAAAATATGAAAGATAATACAGTTTTTTTGTATTCGAAATCGAATAATAAAAAAAAACCACATAATTATAAATGTAATTGGTTATTCTTTCCGTAAGTATAAAAAAAACATTTGTGCCGAATTGCAGGAGTTGTAAAATTAACAATGTCTTTTTTATTATAATAAAGTAAGTAAAAAATAATATTAATTGAGAAAAAAGACTGAGAAACTCAATCTATTGAATCAAGATGAATATATAAATTTTTTGTTCTGAAATTGAAGATGATAATTCTATTTTCATAAATATATTTTTGCACCCTGCTATAAGAAAAATTATAGTATTTAGTGGTATTTATTTTTGGTAAATCATGGCAATAGTTTAATCTTGTGTTACATAATTTTAAGGATTTATGAAATAATGTATATTTAAACATAAGACGACATGGACGTTTTAAAAATAATTATTTTAAACTTAAAACTTTCAATTCCTCGTGCAGTAACTTTGTGTTGTATATTTGTGGTTTATTTACAATTATTTTTGTTAAACAATTTTGAGTTTCTTTTAGGCTCGTAATATATTCTTACTAGTGCACACCACATTGTAATCTCATAATAATATTGATATAAACATAAAATAAAAACATATAAATAATAAAATAAAAACATAAAAATATAAATTAACATAATATGGATTTTACTAAGGCAAAATAAATTAGTAGATAAAGGTAAAATGCTTTTAAGAACTCGAAATTTGTAAAAAAATTCTGATTCTTCTATAAAAATCTTTCTCTGAAAATTAAGCTGTAAAACTGATCCAGTAATAGACCAAAGTATTTTACTTAAGTTAAAAAAGGAATAGGTATGCAGAATTTTAAAATGTTTCTACTCGAATGTAAAATAATTTTATGTTTTTTAAACCTGGTATGTTTTTTAATGAAAAATATATAACGTTAGTTTTTTCTAAATTTAAAAGCCGACAATTTTGATCAAGCCAATTTAGTTAGTAAGTTAGTAATTTTGTTTAAATGTTTGCTGAATTTAGGTAGCGTGACTAAAGATTTTTCTTATTCCAGAAAGAAATCTTTAATGTAAATAAGGAAAAAGATGGGACATACAACTGTACCCTGTGGCACCCCGTATTCAATTGGCAATAGTGTACTACACCAAGTTTTCTGAGCCTTGTCAGAAAGATATGATTTTAAAATATTAAGAGCAATTCATTGGTGCCAATTTTAGATTAATTTTGAATAAGTACTGTATGGCCAACGGGGTCAAATGCCTTCTTAATGACCAAAAAATATGTTGTACGATATTAAACAGTACTATTTTTAAATATATATTGTTATGGTTTCGATGGACGAAACCGAGTTTTAAAAAATGTTTATTTAATATAAACTTACTGACTATTAAACATTCAATACAAGAGTTCTATTAAATGTTGTTAGTTCGGAGTCCCGAGTGGATCTGAAGTAGAAGAGGGTTCTTGATGCTTAGTTTGATAGTTTACATCAGCATTTATTAAGTTGACTCCAGGGATAATGACAATGTAATATATGTATAAGTAAATGAAGTACTTCAAAACTTGCAAGTTGTAAATTTTTGTTTAAATTTTAGTCTAGTATAACAAAAAATTCGTATTGTTTATTTAATTATTTTGTTTATATAATAAATGGTATTAGATTCAATTGGTAATGTTTCATGTTTTATGCTCCCTGATAAAATAAAATGTATCGATTTAATTAAAAACACAAAACATTTAATAGGTTGAATAAATATGTAAACAACACGAATAGATTAATCTTTATGTAAGGTATTGGTTGAAATAAAAACGTTAGTGACACGAGCGGGATTTATTTGCTAGCTCAAGTGGTAGAGCAGCGGCGTATTGAACCGAAGTCGTGGGTTCGAATCCCGCTTTTTCATTTCAACCAATTCCTTACATAAAGATTAATTAATTGAAAGAAGTTATTTGGTCAATCGGGCCACGAAATATAATGGATTTAATAATATAAATGAATCCACTTATAAAGTTGTTATTAATGAAATAAATATAATCGTCAAAATAAATTAAAAAACCATCTGAAAACTTCTTGCAAGCATTAGTTAAGTTTCTCAAAGTTTATTCTTGAATGAGTTGAAGCGACAGCCTGACTGACGGTGTTGTCAGTCATAAGTTCATATCGTACTCATAACTTTGGAAATGTTGCTTGATATTAAATAAGTCTTTTTTATAACTAACTTCATTAGAGCTCGTGGTCTGAGTGACCAAATAACTTCTTTTCAATTAATTATATTTTTGAAAGGTAGTGGTTGAGATAAACAAGCGTCACGAGCGGGATTCGAACCCACGACCTTCGGCTAAATACGCCGCTGCTCTACCACTTGAGCTATCGTAACTTCGATCCACTCGGACACATTTGAAAAATGGCAAAAAGGAGGGAAACTTCGAAAGGTGGTTTAAGGTGGGAAGTTGGTGTCCGATTGGATCGAAGTCACGATAACTCAAGTGGTAGAGTAGCGGCATATCTAACCGAAGCTCGTGGGTTCGAATCCTGCTCGTGACACTGACTTTTTTATCTCAACCTTTCATAAAGGTTTATAATTAACACAATTGGAAATTTAACTATTCTGTTTGTACCTTGCGGATGAATTGAATGATGAATCATTTATATTTACTGCTATTTAACCCAGACGGTCTATAATTAAACAACAAAGACCATTGTCCCTAGATTTTGTAATAAACAATATTTTCTGTTTCGCTGTAAAATGTCTGCGCCCAACTCAAAAGTAGGCCAATTGGCGGTAAATTGTACAGGAATTGGTTGGAACTCACCTGTAAGCCTTCTGGTGCGTTGGATTAACGGATAGTATGATCAGCTGGTTCGTCGGGGAGACGACGTATTCCCTGTCGTACAGATTAGAACCGTCGTCTGTCTGCCACTGGACCAAAGGTGGAGGGTTACTAGGTATCGACAGCAGGTCGAGGATCGCTGCTGCTCCCTGCTGCACCTTTACAGTCCTCTCAGTGTTGTTTTGAAACACGTCCATATCTGCGATAATAAGAATTAAACAATGTTTCGATCATTAATGTTAGTTTACTTAATTTCCATATTCATAATTGTAATTTAATGGAAGATAGAGCATTGAGGCGTAAAAAAGGGTTAACAACGAAATCACAGCGACAATAGACGGACCGCGGGTAATTACTAATGGCCATAAATCATAATAATAATAAGAAGAAAGCCACATATTCTTACATTTATCAAACGGTGTAAATGGTAAAAATAGACCCAATTTTTATTTTCATTTAATTAACCCTATAAATATTAAAATCAATAAATTGAATTGTACACACGGATTTTTACGACTATAAAAAGAAAAAAATATCTATAAATCTCCAACGTGATGCATTTTTAAAATTAATCCTAAACTTTGCTTTTCTTTTTAAGCCATAACACATATACTTTTTATTATGCCATTTATTTCATTGGCTATGTTTTTAAAGTTTATTAAATAAATATAATTATACCGAACATAATCATTCTATCTGCTCGTATTATTCCTGTGATTAGTAATTACATTAATTGTACTTTGTACTAATCGTAATTAGTAATTAATTGATTTTTGCGCGTAGGTCAACCAAGATCACACAAGGTCTCCTTCCAATGGGGGTAAGATCACGTAGGTGCCCGTTTGTGTGGAGAGCTTATCACGGTAGATTATAATAACAGACTGCAAAGATCTAAGTCTGCAAATACGCATATATCTTAGTTGAAATACACTCACAAAAAAGTACAAAGAAAGAAATACATCCAAAATGACTTAAGCACGGCCTTGAGGCATTTTTGTACCTTCATGTATGCGATATTGGTTATTTATTGGACCAAATGTGTTTATTAGCGTGAGTGGAGGGACATTCCCTCAATTACTCCGAGGAATGCCGAGTACTCTGGGGTTGTATGATTGCCAACCAGATTATAATGTTTTTAATTTGTCTTGCTGTATTTGTGTATTTACAGTTGACGAGGCCCTGAGGTAGGCTAGCAGTAGGATTTAGAAAAGAGAAAGTTGGTTACCGTTATATCATAAAATATGATAACTTGGCTGTAGAAACAGTAAAAGAAATTATTAGGCTGAAAATGATAGAAATAAAGCTAAGAACAGAGCTAAGAAATAGAGAGCTGGTGATGGCCATCGACATTAATATGGCAAAAAGTGACCACCCTTAATATTTTTAATTAACTCTTAGACAATCCTCCATTTTTTATCTTAAAACAATATTCGGTCCATTTTATAAAGGATTAGAGGTAAATAAAACACAAATAAAATCTCCCTCTTATGTTTATATCGTAATTGAAATACACTCATAAAAAAAGTACAAAGAAAGAAATACATCCAAAATGACTTATGCACGGCCTTGAGGCGTTTTTGTACCTTCATGTATGTGATATTTGTTATTTATTGAACCAAATATATTTATTAGCGTGAATGGAGGGGGGGCTTTGCTTTAGCATTTTGTAAATAAATCTTTAATAGTCAATCTCTACTTTGCTGGTTTTTCTGTAAAGCTTCTTTCTAACGTTCCGGTGGTTTGATTTTTTAAAAGTTGTACCATTTTTAAGTTTCAACTTACGTTTTTACAATGCATTATTAACTTTCTACCGACTTCTTTGTTATTAACCTTAAACCTAAAATTCTTACATAAGGTTTATTATAACGGGGTCTTCGTGTGACGATATCGTTTGTACAATAAAAACAAGCGACCCAAAATGGATCAGAATTGATTAATAAACCAAATGTCGTTCTAATATTTTAATTTGAAAAATCAATTTAACTATAAATCTCTATCTGTACATAAATTGTTCATATTTCCGACAATATTTCCATAATTAACTACTAAACTTGATTATTTCTGATATTATTATTACTGTGGTTAATGTATTTTTTAAAAAGGTATATTTAAGTCTTCTTATGCCGTAAATCGTTAGTCTTTAAAAGAAAAACAGCAACAATAGAAGGACAGGGGATGATTAATAATGCTATACATCAGCTGTCGCCCTATAGTTTTTAATTGAAAATTAAGAAAATATATTCGACTAAAACAACAATACATTTGTAATGTTGCAAAATAATTTAATTATTTATGAATCAATGAGTTATTATTATTAATTGAATTATTGAATGTTTCCGTTTGAGTGAATGTGTTTATAAATAAAAATCCATGTTTTAATGACCAATTAAGCAAATCTGGATTGTATTAAAAGAAATTTCACCAAACTTTTTGGGCCTTGTTCGCAAATTGATTACTTATAATCCATCGGGCACAAAACCAAAGATGGGCCAAATATAATTTAATTTTGTCCTTTGATTTCAATTATGAAAATTGAAAATACGCGGAAAGTAGTTAGCACTTACATGCCACGGTGAATTCTAACTTTCCGCTCAGAATGGCGCCGACGTCGTTTTTCGCCAAGCATTGGTAAGTCCCTCCGTCTTCCTCACGCGTGTTCAGTATTTTGTAAAAGTGCTCCGTCGTGAAGTCCGACAGCTCCACGCCGTCTTTGAACCATTTGTACTGCGGTTGTGGGTATCCTGAAAACAAAATTAGAAATTATTAAATTACATTAACCCTTACTACAATAAATCATTATTGACATTTTTCGGTGGCCGCAACGGTTTAGGCGTTGACACGGCGCTCGGCATTGTAAGTTAATGTCCCGGGTTCGAACCAACAGCCCTGCAATCGAATCCAACTTACTTACAAAAGGGCTTTTTTCAAAAATACCGTAACATGACCTGCTATTGCGAATTCCCTTAAAAGTTTTGCAAAAACTTGATCTAATGGAATGATTCACTACTCGTACGACAAAGTTCGGGTACTTTTACACCTCAAACGTAACACAAAGGTTTTTATGAACTATGGTCCGATTCTCAACCCTTTCAACATTTTATGTTTTTTTCAACTATCTACGGTCATGAATCTACTTTAGCTTTTGAACTATTTCGGGAAATCTGTTTTGGCTTGTCAAACGCTTTACGTCAATTTCGCCATTTTCTGTAGGTCAGGGAATAAGCAGGGCGAGGCAAGACACAACGACACTGCGTCCCCTCCATTCACCCTAATTCCTCTCTCTGGAATGAGAAAGATGTACAGGAGTGTAAACATAAATACCAAAATGAAGTATGTGCCTCCCCCTACTTATATACCCTGACCAACTACTGTAAATGCCGAAACGCCGAAATAACAAATCGAAAACCAAGAATTACATACTTTTCCATTCACTCGTTACGCAGCCAGTTTGAGTGTACCATTGAACTCCGTTGGGATAAGCTTTGCAATATTTATGGACTGTTAAAGTCAAAGGCTTAATATGAGAACTATGTCAAATGAAATTGATTATACAATAAAATGAGGTTAAATTGAACTTATTTATCATAATTTATATATCATTTGTTATAATTTATGAAAGTAACTTTAACCAATGAGAGAATTTATTCTTGTTGAGACTTCGATGTTTTAATTACCTTATGTACTGAAAGGAATATATTAATCAATTAGAAAAAGCAATTAAAGATCTATTGTTCTCGGCCGTTTTCCCTTTAAAAAGGGATGAATTTATTTGCGCTGGGAAACAGCATTTAACGCGGCGGGATTCATTATTTACGGAGTTTTAAATTGCCTTACTTAAAAAAGAGTACGTAAAAGAGAGAGGGTGGAGAATCGCCTTTGACTTTCCACAAGAAAATTTACTTATTCCGACCTCATTAATTTTTCAATTGGGAAATAAAATTACAACTCTTATAGCCAAATCGGTTCGACTTAATATCAAGATTCGAACATTATAAACGAAAGTACTGAAAATTTCCATGAGGCATTACATCCTCGGTCGGTCGATTAGAAATTCTTCCACATGCGGTCAGACAGGAGGGAAACAATAATAGAAGACAGAAAATAAAAAGATCTCCTAACAGACAATCACATTGCGCTGTAAGATTATTTTTTTATTATGACAAGGACTAGGTAAAGCTTCTTATTTTACTCATTGAAATACGAGCATATTACGAAAAATAGGTAAATGTTATAAATTGATTTTTTAAAAATTTCTTTTTATTATAATATTTATACTATAAGATTAAATGAGAAAACTGATGCAAAGGGAAGAGGACCAGTTTGTTAAAACTTTTGTTGATCTATTTTCTCTGTACACATTCATTATCTCATCCTTTCACTTCCATCTTAAATACAAGAAGTGAGAGAATACTGAGAGAAAGGGATAAGACGGAAAGAATAAAAAACAAAAAGAGAATGATGGAAGGGAATGGTATGATATGGTGATAAAGATGCTAGGAAGCGGGGTTTGTGCTCCCCAGGCACTGCAGCCTTCTGGGTTATTGTATCTTCCTAGTTCCTTAGTTCAGTGCAATAGACTCAATCCTTCTCCTGACTGTCGCTGCTACAATTTCACTCCCTAAGTTTTTTTCGTATGTTAGGTTGAATCTCCATCGAGCTGTTGCTTCGCATTCGAAGATGATATGGATGGCTGTTTCCTCCTCCTTATTACATAATCTGCAGATGGGATCATCGTTGTATATTCCCAAGTTGTGCAGATGTTTTCTCAGATGCCAGTGACCGGTTTAGTAGTCCTATCTGAGTTTAGCCCTCTCTATTTGGAGCAGAGATTTTGCCGGTCTTGGTGAGGATTGTTTCATCATAAGTTTATTATGTCTAGAGCCGCTAGAGTTTATCCACTTCTCCTTTTGTTTTGTTTAGATCCATTCTGCGTTGGAGGATTCTATATTTGTTTTGTTATCCCAAGTATAGGTTCGGGGCCTATGCATGGTCTTGCAGATCTTCCTCTGTCTGCTTTCTCATTACCCAAAATTCCTCTGTGCTCTGGCACCCAAAGATATCATCAGGTTTTGGAGATTTTGAGTGCATTCACTGACTAATTTTGATGTGATTTTTTTACATGCTAATTCTGTAATGGCTGCTTGGCCGTCAGATCTTATGAGGATTTTTTTTGTCAGTGTAACCTCTTTTAAGATTTTCCAGGGCACAAGCACTGATGCATGTAATTCTGTTCGAAAGACTGAAATGTCCCTAATGAGTTTGATTGCTCCCTGATGATGTTTTGGGCTTGTACAGAAAACGCCCGATCCAGTTCCTTCGTTTGTTTTGGAGCCACCCATATCATTGTATCTGATGCTCTCCTGTGTTCTTCCTTTTCTTTATAGTCCGTAGAGACTTTATATGATGTTGTAAAGTATGTTTGCGGATCACATAGTCAGTCCCCATTTCTACGAATGAGTGCCTGATTTTGTTAATTATGGTTGTATGCCCGAATTGTTTAGTTCCTATTCAATTTGATTGTTTCTGGAGCCTAAATGAGCTTTTCCTAACCTCTCCTTGTATAAATATTTCCAGTGGCGGTAGGTTTAGCAGTTTCTAATGTATTTGTAGGGGTTGTTCTAATAACCTTTGTGATACATAGGTTTGCTAGTCTTTTTATGCTGCCTAATGTTTGGGTAGCTACTTTTTGTTGAGCTTTGTTCCACCAGATTAATGATCCATAGGTTATTCTGGGTCTTATTACGGAAGGAAAGGAAAAACAATACAAAAACGCGGCGGAGAGGAAGAAACGAAGAAAGTTAAAATAAAAAAAGAAATAAAGAAAAGTCATAAAGAAAGAACAGAGAAAGCAAAAAAATACAATAAATAAAGCAGAAAGGTTCAAGGTAGAAGGAAAAGAAGATAGAAAGTAAGACAAAACAAACCAAGCAAAAAAACAAAAAGAATAATGTAAAAACACAAGACAGATAAATAAAGAAAAGGGAAAACCAAGATAAGAAAAATATGTAAGTTTTTCAAGTATTTGTTTTAAATGAATTACAAATACAAAGATACGACTCTTTAATCAAATTATTTAAAATAACATGTTTAATTTTTGTTGGATCGTCGATAGAACAAAACGTTTTGCCTTTTGTAAGCATTCACTTCAAAGCTTTAAAGCATCAAGATTAAACAACGAATAAAAATAATATTATCGGGGAAATCGACATATCAACTCTAGTTAAATAAGTTAGGTCATATGTGTGTTGTGTATGTGTGTGTGTGTGTTAGTAATTTGTAGGGTGACACAGTTCTAAATTGTGCATATTATGTCAGAATAATTTTTAAAACGTCTAGAAGGTACCAAGGATAAGGCTTTCAAAGAACGGCTAGCTAATTGATGCGTGGGCGACGCAAACGTGGACTTTCCTGTCCAAAAGCGACATAGCTCTCAATTAAATTATCCGACCGAGTAATTTTTGGTTTCTTTTAGCGACCGAACGAGTATTCTTGACAAATTTTCTTCCTCAATAAAAACTGAAGAAGTCTTTGAACCATAAACTAATGTTTCCTACAATTAAACGGCCAGCTTCTTCCTTCTAAACCGTCAACGACGGCTTTATGGATGTGGGCCAAACAATTTTTTTATGCGTGTTTAGACCCACATGCATGCGTTTAGCAGTTTCTTTATTGCGTTGTAGCGCAATAAAATAAATCAGAAATTAAACACTTCCCAACACTTTAAATGTTTTTTTAATAAGAAAAAAGATACAAATTTCTTTTAGTTTTTACATATTTTGTACATATATTTACATAGTTGTATTATAGAACATAAAATTCAATGAAATTTCCAACTAAGAGGATATGCAGTGACCACTACATTTCCACTTAATTAAGCATTCTCATAACCTTTATCCTCGTATGTATGGTCTTAAAACTTTATTAAAGTTCGTGATAATTAATTAAGTCTGACAAAATAGGATAATTTACAATGACAAAATTATATACATCTGTGTGGTGTTTAGTGACCGTTACGTAATGATTATTTGGAGGTCATGAAATGCGGTCTGGTGTTTTTAATCTAAATTTAATCTTAGGTTTTCTAGCATTGTATAAATTCATTTTTTTATCTAAAATTTTCTAGCACTGTATAAATACTATTTTTTTAATCTAAAAATTTCTAGCATTGTATAAAATCATTTTTTTCACATGCTACATGTATTTGTAAAATTCAAACAGTGCTTTAAATCCCAGGCCCTGAAGATGATCTCAATAAAGATCGAAACGTTGGCACGATAAAGAAAATGTTTTTCTAAATCCTACGACACACCAGACCGCATCTCACGACCTCCAAATAATCATTATAATCATCATTATTATGTTATTTGGGCAAATGGAAGCAACGAATTCCGCCTTACTTTAAATTATGGAGACGAAATTATTTTACGTTCTTTACGAGAATTATTATGTAGGGTGACGAAAAGAATTGTAAGCGTCGTACTATATTTTACAAGTCGCTGGCAGTTACAAGCCGACTTCCGGCTTGCAACTATTTAGAAAAAGAGAGACTTATTCCTTATTTAGCCCTAAATAGATTGGCACAATCATGAAGAAAAATATTTCAAAATATAAAAAGGCAGGTAGAAATGTGTGCACATACGACATGGGCCCGTCAGAATCCGCTGACAAATTGTAACAATTTATTTTTACGGTTAGGACTCCTGGCATTCCTGCTTCCTACCAGAATGCATTTATGTGTTTC